GACTGCCTGTATCATTAATATGAGTGCTGTTTGTGGTAGATCGCATTGTTCTTAGCTTTCGACTTGATTTCTTCAACAAAGTTTCAACAAGGAAGCACAAAGCTAAAAAAAAAAAAAACCCATGCAATTCTGAGCTAACAACACTGTTACGTGTATGTTTCTACTTGCAAAAATAACACAAATATCTTCCCCATTTTTTTCAATAGAAGAAGTAGGAAAAGTAGTTGGAAAAAGTATTTGGTTATGGTCTTGGCCATTTAGGATTACTACTCCACTGTGAGTATTGGGAAGTGTAGAGGGGAACGGTATGTTCCCTGTAAGGGTGAAAGTGCTGAGTGCAGCCTGCATGATAAAAAAATGAGCACTGACCAAAGGACAATGTGTGTCTGTTAAAGCACTTGGTGCTGGTGTGCTCCTGTGAGAGCACATGGCAGGGCTTTAAAGGATTCAAAGTAGCTAATCGGGCACTGGGAGTGTGGTTATTAAAGTCCAGCGGTAGCAGGGGTGTTTCTTGATCAGGTGAGAAGGGAGTGGAAACCACAGAAGCTTATGTGGACTTTTGGTTTGTGTACTCTTAATTTACACTTTTGATTATTTGGTTTGTTCTGGAAGGTGAAGTGTGGTGGGGCTGGTGAGGTAAGTTGAATGCTCAGCGGGTGTGTCTGTCAAGTGCTTGTGTAGGCTGGGGTTTCTTTCACAGTGGAAGGAATTTTGCTTCATAAGGGGAACAGGAGAAAAGGGAGACCTTCCCAGCAGCAGCAAGCGCAGAAATGCAGCTCCCTTTGTCTCTTCCAGTAACAGGAGTTCAGCTGCTGAGCTGGTGTCTGGGCTGTTTCTCCACTGTCCTTGCCTCCTCATGCTAAGCAGTTAAGTATACTGGGAGGCTGTGTCACGTTAAACTTTCACTGAAGTATTTGATTTAAACCCGTTTCATTTAGACTTTCATGAAAGAGTATTGAAAAGTAAGCCACTATGCTGAAATGTAGGTTCCTGAATAAAAGTGACCTTATTACAAGAAAAAATCTGAAGTGTATGTTAGGAGGTTAGAGAAAAGGGTCAGCTTGTGAAATCCTCCTCCTCATCACCACAGTGTTGGAAGTTTAAGAGTATATGCTTATCTGTTGAATTGTTCACAATCTCACAATCTCCTACAGATTGAAAACTTCAAATGAACAAATTTAACACTCCCTACAAACCACCTCCTCCCAACCCTATGGCAACAATTGTTTGCTTGCTGTTCCCCTAAGCAATGCTTAAATTTCTTGCCCGTATTAGGTGTGGTGCTTGCTGTGCTAATGGGCTGTTTTTCAAATACTTTTAAGCTGTATGGAAGAATTTACACTGTAATTCTTGTGCACTCTGGCTTTAAAAAAGGAACAATAAATCACAGAATGCTAATTTTATAGTACTTTGAATGTATTTGGGGAGGCAAAGTTGCATACCTAATAGAGCACCACAAGAACACTAGAGCTGAGGACTTTATTTGTTCTTCCTGTTGCTGTAGCCAGTCAAGGCTCCTGCATTTTCCTCAGGGAGGATAAAGTGAGTAAGGTACCTAGAAAATGCGTTGGTGACTTCTTGATATAATGATGCCTGTATATATAGGGAAATATATTAGTGGGTGTTACATCTTGCTCAGAAGTAGAATTCCCATTTCCCCACCTTTTGAATAGAGAAAGTGATTATTATTGTCTCCTCTGTAAAGTTATCTGAGATCTACTGATTTTAAAAGCACTTTTAATAGCTTTGGGGGATGTAATCTGTCAGTCAACTTATTTTTGAGTTCTTCTCAGGGTGTAGGCTTAATATGGAAGAGGAGAATGTAATTAATGTATAGGATATGCAATATGGTGCTGCATATATACCTTATATAATGCACAGTGTAATCCTCTTTTTCTTACCTAATACAATTTCTTTATATAACACAGTGTAACCCTGGTTTTGTTGGTTAATATAGTCCCTTCCTATTGAAAATACTGAGGCAGGGAATAAGTTGGTAGTAATCTTATCTGACAAATCTGTTTTATTAGGTTGTGCATAAGCCCCCAGGCCGTGCCAGCCGAATGGAATTTCCTTGTTCTGTGCCGCGTAAGATAACTCTGAGTGAAGGAGATATCCTAGATACTTTGTGACTGATGTAATAGTTATGATTTATAATATCTTGTGAAGTGGGCATGAAATGTCACAGTACTGGTATGCTGAGTTAAAGATCAAATGCATATGAAGGTTGAGGGTAAGGAGAGAAAAGACAAACAGAAAATTGCAAATTGAATTTTTTTCTTGCTTCATTTCTGGGTAAGAAAATTACTGTAAAAAATAAAACAAACATTGGGTGAATAGAAGGTGTGCTATAGTGGCTGTTTAAGTGTATGATCTGTTATTAGGTACCTCTTTAAACGTATGTAAAAACTATGAAAAAATATAATTTTTGAATTGACAGGTCCCAGTCATGTACAAATAAAGCTGTGCTGTAGCTGATAGATGGTGTAACTGTATATTACCCTGGATAGATACATCTTTAGTACATTACTCTTTGCATGTATCTGTTCTGAGAAAAAGCAGTTGTTCACTAAAGAGGATAAAGAATGATTTAAGTTTTATTTTTGACTAGCTGATGCTTTCTCAGCCGTGTGGTTAGCACAGAACTGACTCACAGAAAATTCTGCAGACTTATAGGCTGTAGTAGGAATGCCATCCAGATGAAGGTCTAAAAAGAGAAACTCTGGATCGAGTTTCTAAATATCACATTTCTTCTCTGTTGCCAATTTTATCTATTCAAAGGTGTGACTGGTTACTAGTTGATTGTCTGTTTTGACAAGGTCAGATGAAGGATGCTAATGTCTAAAATGTGAAGACATCGTGCTCATTGTTCATTGTAAGAACAAGAACCGAGTTGCAGTTGTAAGTTATGTTGCAAGCCAAGTTATTAGATTGCTTGAGAGAGCTGAAAATGTATACGTGAACTTTATATAGTCTGTTTGAAATGAGCCTTCTTGTTTAAAAAAATACTAATTATTGGAGATTATTATTATTTATAAAGTAAAATTTAATTTTCTGCTTAAACCCAGCTGAATTTCCCTAGGTGATGTTACTGTGTGAGTATTGGTTAACTGAAAAACTTTGAATTACCTGAGAGAATAAAACTAATGTCTGTTAAGGGTGTGCTGTTACGACTCTCATTGTTAAAGTAAGGTGTTAGATTGCAGTGGGTGTTTGATGGATTATATGAGATAAGCAATTAGCCTTTGAAGTAGGGCTGTTGGGTTTATATGGTGGTTTGGTTTTTTTTAAACCAACAACTAAACTAGAACCTCCTCATCAAGAAACACCATCTCCATACTAAACTTTCATTTTTTAAAACCAATAGTCCCCTAGTTATAGAACCTTATGAAACATTAATGCTCTCTGTGAAATACATTAGGAAAAGTGTTCACCACTCATTTGACCTGGAATAGGTTTGAATAGGTTGGTGACTTTTGTTTCCGTTTTTGTGCTGTCATCCAGTGATGCCAGAAGGAAAGAAAAGGCATTTGAAGTGTTCTGGTGCAGAAAACCCTGTAACTATTACAGGCGTAGTGAGGGAAGCTGGGACGGCAGAAGGAGACCCTCCATCGCCAGGGAAGCTCTGGGGGGTTTGGCAGGTGGTGGGCACAGGTCTGTGCCTGGGTTTTGGGGCAGCTGGCCTGGCCTGCTGCTCCCCAGGGACCGTCACTAGCGCAGCAGCAAAAGATGAAGGACACAGAGCGACATCCTGCTGCTGTTTTTCTTCAGATACCAGGCTGGCTTCCCACTGTGTACTTCTTTTCATGTGTTGGCTTTTTCCACTTCCCAGTTTGGAGCTGCAGGGGGGTCCAAGGTGCGCTCTCAAGGAAAATAATGTCCAGCAGATGTAGGCAGGGGGTAGAAAATTATCTGCTTTTATCTCTTGTTGTGTCAGAGCCGTGTGGATGTTGCTGGCAGCAAAGCCTGTGTGTGATAGTTTGCAGCTGGGGCTTTGCCACCTGTGCTGAAGGGACAAATGGGGTGGCAAGTCTCCTTGTCCCCTGCTTCCAGTTGTGTGTGAAATATGGTCTTTAGAGTTTGCTTTTTTCTTTTTTAGCTAGGCTGTTCAGCACAGCCTGTACTTGCTGAAAGCCGGAAGCCTGCTCGGACTGGCCAGATTTCCCCATGTGGCACCATGGCGGGGAAAGGCATTGTCCCTGCCCCAAGCAGTCCAGCTGGGTCAGTCTCATCCTGTCCGTGCCCAGGACAATAAAGCTCTCTCCCTGTTGAAGAACCACTAGTATAAATGTAGGTAGAAAAAGAAGAAAAAGAGTGCCTAACACCCAGTGCTGAAGGGAAGTCCCTCAGGAAGTCTGATCTATGAAGAAAAAATTTGCCCTTGTTCTTAAGCCTTGCTTTTAATAAGCTGTAACAGAGGTGACCCCCGGTTATGCTGGAGGAAGGGTAGGAAACTAAGCAACCTTGTCAGAGAGAATGTGCTCTGAGCTAATGGTGCAACATGTGGAGCAATAGACAACATTTCATGCTCTCTCCTGACATTTTTGTTTTGATGATCTACCTTTTTTTTCATGAAGCTTTTCAAGCAGTTACATTTTGAAGCAGTCCCTAGCAATGTTTGAATCCTGTGGCATTTGAGGTGGGTGAATGATGAAGCAGAAGATGGTGGTAGCTCTTCGGTTTGCTCATTCTAACTTCTGGAACAAGCTGTTCTGCTCCAGCTGGAGATGCCCGTGCAAGAGCTGGTGTGCTGAGATGAGCCATGAGAGGCTGTGCACACAGGAATGTCTCTCTCCTTTGCTTCCTGCCAGCTCCTACCTGCAGTTTGAGCTATTGATGCTTCTTGTCGTGTGTGTGGGTGGAGACGCAGTCCTGGGGCAACTGGAGAAGGAGAGTAATCATCACTTCAGCTATGGATCCGTGAGAGAAGCCAGAACTATACTCTCCTTTCATCTTCCTGTCAAGCTCACTAAACCTAATATTCGGTTAAATATGATGTGTTTGCTTTCCTCCCGCACAGATCATGTTTTGTACTTTGAACACTCATAAAGTTGATATGGACAAGCTCTTAGGGGCACAAATTGGCCTTGAGGATTTCATATTTGCCCACATAAAAGGACAACGAAAAGAAGTGGAAATTCTTAAAACCGATGATGTGCTTGGGCTTACCATTACAGACAACGGAACTGGCTGTGCGTTTATAAAGGTAAATTTAGTTTCCAATGAAATACTTTGTTCTATAGAAGCTTCTGTTACTATAACAATTATTGTTTTAATGATCCTTTAGAGCTATAAAATCTTTTATTGTCATATATATGATAAATAAAAACTAAAGTTGCTTTAGGTACAAAATTCAAAATTAGTTCAGCTATTTCTGTACTGCACGTCATTCAACATTAGTTCATTTGTTCATTGCTTCTCTAATGTGTATCAGCTTTACAATGTGACCATTGTGTTTTCCGACCTACCCTGAAGTGGTAGGTGTTAAATACTGCTTGCATCTGCCCCCTCTTTTTTTTTTTTTTTTTTTTTTTTTTTGAGTGGTTTTCTGATGTCATTGATTAGGTGCTTATAGAACATCTGTCACTCATGTGATAATGAGATCGAGTTCTTTCAGTCTTTATGACTGTTCACAGGATAGAAGCTTTTGTGCTGTATAAGAATAGGTGTAAGTACAGTGCTTTTTCAGCTTTCCAATACTGTTGCCTTAGGTAGGATGAATTAAAAGGTGCTAAGGATATGGATTAACATACCACATTTACCACAATTAACTTGAGTAGCAACTATGGACAGTGACATGTACAATATGTTAATCATAATTTCTTTCTTCCTCCTCTTCTATGTGATCTCCAGATAGTATGCTTTGAGACAAGTAGAGGCTGGAGAAATGATGCAACCCTTCTTGCTAGAATAGGTATTAGGAAACTGAATCACATTTTCTGCCTTTTTTTAGGTGCTTTGCTCTAATCTACTCCAGTTATCCAATATTAGTGAAGCATTGGCAATTATTTTCAATTACTGCTGTCTCAATCGCTGTTCTCATTGTAAACAAAGCTCCTCGTATGGAGGGGTTGTGTTCTATACTCATTTCTTAGCTCCATGGATATAATACAAGATGTGGTTTAGGAATAGGTTTGCTTGTCTTTGTTGTGGAAGAACGTGATTGAGATCACGCTTGAGAAAGCCGAGATGCAGTGGAGGTTTCAGTAAGCGGTCTGACAAAATCATAGGCTCATTTTTATGTTATAGACACAGAACTCTGAATTTCTAGTGGTAGCATCCCATAACATTCAGTCACGCAGTTGCTTATGTGGCATTTTAAAAGAAGGCATTGAAAGCACTGCTTCAGTGATTAAAGTTCACGTGTGCAGCACTGTACAGAGCGTTAATCTCTCTGTGCTTGGTTGGTAATATGGGGAGAGAGAACAGCCATCCCATAGACTACTGTGTAATGGGAGCAGACTGGAAAACCCTCACCGCATTAACAAGACAAACTGTACTTTCCAGTAAATTGGATGAAACTTGTCTGAACAGATATATCATTGTCCTTGTGCAGGTCTAACAAGCAGTATAATGAAAGTGGTGCAGTCTTTGTGGGAATACATCAGTTTAAAGGAATTTCTAGGAGCTTACTTTGTTGCCGTTGCATACTTAGCTAATGAATTTTTTAAAGCAGTATAGAAAATACGTATGCAAAAGTAAAAGCTGAGACTATCTCTAAAGTTTGACAAAATTCTTTCTGTTTACATATTTACTTTCCTTGAAAAATTGTTACTATGTTCCATTATTAATTAACAACTAATATTACATTTACCTAAGTGCAGGTTGTTGAAAGATGTTATGGGCTTTAGTAATTTTATTGTATTTCAAATAACAGGGCAGTTTCTAGGTTTGATACACAACCCGGCCAGTTTTTAAACCTGACACTCTGAACTGCGGGTTCTTTTCCTATGGAGTCTAACGTTGCTTTGCCTTATTAAGAGGAAAACTTCGTGTCATTCTATTTTCACAAACCTGTTTTCTGGGTACATAGCCAGATGGGAAGATGTATTATGGAATTACATTAGCCATTCAAAAAATAACAGTAGAACTTGAAGCATGACTGACTGGTGTAAAAGGAGACATTATAAAATGGGGTGATGAAATTAATTTTACTCATTGCTTAGGAAATATTGATCCTAGCTTCTAAATGGACTGCAGAGCACTTGAAATGCAGGCATATCAATTGCATCTTACTGTGATAATGTAGCTTGACTATCTCTAGTCAGTTAACTTGGAGTGATGATAAGGACTAAGTCATATTAAAAAATAGCAGCCAGTGAATATTACTTAAGCAGTTTTGGTGTTAGGATCTAAGTGAAGAAGAAAAGCTAAATGTGAATAAATTCAACATGTATACTAAACATTAACTGAAGTCTGGTGGGCATGCTTTTGAATCCTGGCACCTGGTAACACAAGTTATTTGGGACCCGGTTTCTGATGTGTGTACGTTATCCCCCTCTTCACTGTGAGGCTTCCTGTCGGTTTGAATCTAGGATAAAGAAAGAAGTGCTAGAAAGAGTTAAACTCCGCCTGAAGCTAAAAATTGTTGCAGTGTATTATAGGACACTGAGCACTATCACACTTCCCACTGACTCTCTCAGATGGAGGCACATATGTGGGCTCAGATGTTCACACATAAACTAGAAGCAGGTTTCTGACATAGTGGTGCAGCTAGGCTAGGTGTTAGAGTCGTAGGTGGCAATATGTTTATCTCCCTTGTCTCACTGTTGTCTCAAAGTTATCCTGAACAACATCAGTCTTTATTGAAAAGTATGTTATTCAGGAAGGTATTAGAATGAAATTCCTATGGCTGCAAAATATAAGATATTCTATTATGCCACAGCTTTTCGATTAAATAGCCATAGGATAATGGCTCACATGAATTAGGCACATGAGAGACAATTATGACAGCATATCATAACAATAAAAGATGAAATTCTAAGAATGTTTTAATTGACTTGACAAATCAGAGATATTTTAAAGATTGCTTTCTTACTTTTTAAATTCCACTTCACAAAAACTATCAATATTAATTTGTTACATTTTATGATCTTTAGACTGTTTGTATTCCATAAGATGGCATTTAGAATAATTTATTATTCTTTACTGTTACTTCAGATGAAATACTTTAATATGCAGCTCTATAGCTTGGTAAGGAAAATTGTAGAAGTTTTATCACTATAGATGGGTCTTATTAAGACTAACTCTTTATAGTATTTAATTTTTAGTATATCACACACATTTTTTTCATGTCCCTGGACTATTGTTGAAAAGAGGAATGTTCTGTTCCTATGCTTGTCAAGCTATTAAATCAAAATAAACCCCTGAAACTCAATAAAACTTTCATATTACTGACATATTTGGGTTCAGTATTAAAGCACAAAAAATTAGGTAGTTGAGAAACCTTAATTTTTAAAGTATGATTGATTTTTTTTTTTTCTGGTGATTTTATATTCAATGCTCACTAAAATACTTTATTTGACAAATAATGCTTTCCAAAATATGTTTTATGAAAATCTTACAGAAAAAATGCACTGCTGTTATAACAAGCTCCATGCTATTGATAATGTTAACTGACATTCTTGAAACTCTGTGGTCTCACCTCTTTACCTTTTAAAGAAATGTTTCTAATTATTATTTTTTTTTTTTAAACAATAGCGAATCAAAGAAGGCAGCCTTATGGACCAAAACAAAATGATCTGCGTGGGTGACCACATAGAGACTATAAATGGAAAAAATGTGTCAGATTGTCGGCATTATGAAGTTGCCAAAATGCTAAAAGATCTAGAGAAAGGTCAGATGTTTAAGCTGGAGTTGATAGAGCCTATGAAAACATTTGGTGAGTGACCTGATTGACCACCTTGTTCACTGGATATCAAAATCCCAGCATTGCAATGCATTGTAAGTTTGTTTTTGGATTGTGGCCAGGTGTCCACGCAAGGTAACGCAACTGGTACAAAAAAAAGTTGTTTGTTTGGGTTTTTTTGTTTGTTTGTTTTGGGTTTTTTTAATTTAAAGTGGGAAATTTATGAATGGATGTTCTTCCATCTTGCTTCCTCCAGCAATCATCCTGACATGGGCTGCCTCGCCTGAGACTCAGTTGCTCTATTCCTTTGCCATCACATGATGATGTGAAATACGTACAGGAATTGTCTCATAGTCACAGTTTTAAAGCATGGGTCACTTCACTAATGCACTGATCCTTGAACCTCTTCTTCTCTTTTCCTTTATTGATACATAATGTTGATCTGTGTCAGATTCTTCTATTTCTGAACCCTTTACTGGGCATCTGATGCCAAAAGATGCTGCAGAAAACACTGCCTGGGATTCCCTAGAGCACCTCCTTTGCTGCACGCCTGCCTGCTCTCTGCAACTTTTTTTGTGGATCTCTAATCATACAGCAGCTACATTAAGAATTGGAAGAAGGCAGTATGGTGAAGCTCTGTTTCTACCTACCACCTGCATGCTATGAAGAAAGTGATGCTTATATAGGAGGAATGCATACCTACTTCTAATCCTTATGTATACTAATTTTAACAATGCACTAAACTAAAAAAAAAAAAAAAAAGAGACTGAGTTTTAATTTTTATTCTCTCAATTTTTCGTATCTCCTCCCAAACCATCTAGCATTTTTCTGTAATAGAAACTTTGAAATAGTACTAAATTATATGTGTGTGTGAGTCCTTGTGCTCACCTGCACTAACAGCAAGTTAAAAATCCCCCTTTTCACCACAGCAGCAAAAGTCTGACATTTTTATTTTTCAAATCTTTTTTTCATCTGTTAGTAGTTTACAACTGCTGTCATACACCAGTCTTAACACTTGGTGTCAGGATAGCAGCAGAAATTGAAAATGAGGAAATGTGAAGGTTTCTTTTTGCTTTTGGTGTTTCTGTGAAGAATGAGGGTTATGAGCTAATCTCTAATGCATTTGGATGTAGATTGATATTCCTGTTAAGTAAATGTGTATGTTACACATTACACTAAAGTAGTGTTACATATGTATAACGTTGCAGTTGGTAATATAGGAATACCTTTTTAATATGGGTCTGTAATTTGTACTCAGTGCTAAGTGTGTCACATAGTCTGTTTGTAAAGACAAGGGTAAATTAGCATTTGATTGATGACTTCAGCCATTATTTAATAGCAATTACTTTAGTCAGGTGATTAAGATACCTTTTAGTCTGCCTGTGATGTAGAGAAGGAAACCTGCTAATTCCATGGCAATACCTTTTATCTGACATTGAATTCAGAAGCAATCAGAGCTTTTTAGACAGATTCTTGGAAGATGCATGTTATTTTTTCCCTGCAGAAATTAATTTACAAGTTGCAGTGCCCAATAGATTAGACTATCCTGCCTCTAGCCCTAGGTGCAGTTAGGCTTTAGACACAAATCTGTTCAAGATAGTGCTTAAGCTGCAGCTGCTGAGAATAGCCCCAGAGGAGATGACAAACAAGATCCAGATCCTGCTGGACAGCTGGGTGCTGAATTCCTGTTAGTTTCAACACAAGTTTGTGAGAGTATAGAAACAAGAGACAAGTCTCTGTGTGAAATTACTTTTCCTTTTCCTCCTCTCAGGAGAATGTGAAATAAATATAATTTACTGGTTGGATATCTTATACCATGTGCACACGGGCTGCCTTAACTACTGTAGGCAAGACTTGTAGCACGGAATTGAAGGCTTGTCTGAGTAAGGTTGGTCCTTCCCAGTTACAAGGTAACTCTCTTCAAACTGGTGAAGAATTAATAGAAACCAAATAAAGGCAGCATAACACAAACTCTAAATTATGTGAATGTGAAAAAAGGTTTCTGTGATGGCCAGAGAGCTTTGGTCTGAAGTATTGCAAATAAAAGTTATGTCAAATTGCAAGTTTTAAGGTGACAGAACCAGAAAAAAATGTATGTTGTATCAGGAATTACTTTTTGAAACAAGTCTGGCAGAAGTGATGACAATTTTAAGGATGTTTTAAACGGTCCTTGAAGCAATAAAAAGGAGTAAGGATATGTGTTGATCCAATTATATATGTAATATACTGTGTCGTATCTATTTGTTAAAATAAAAACAATTAAAATTTACTTTTCAAGACTTATTCAGCAGAATAGTCTGGATTTTTGACTACTTATGTAAAAATGATGAGTTGGAATCTACCTGGGCATAATAAATATAGTATGTTAAAGCCTTGCCTTCAAGGAGAGCTTATTAGAAAGGCCTGCTGTTAAAGAGGAGGAATAATCTGGTAGATAAAACAGCACAGTTAAAAATGGTTCTGCAAATTTATCTCCTATTTTGTAGCTCTTTCCAGATTAACTCTCTAACTCCCATGTCAATAAGTGGATCAAAGCCTTGCCACTCTTGATTGTAAAATTTTGTCCCAGAACAAGAAAACCAAATCCTAAATGATTCCATCCTCCATTTACTAACCAGGGTGCCCTTACACAAGATTAGAGAAGGAAAACTGAATTCAGGAAAAAAAAAAAACTTTGGGTAAACCCAAATATTCTTGGTGTACAGATTTATCAGGTGTGAAATCATGACCTCAGTGAAACCAGTGGAAATACTCCTGCAGATCTACTTATGGATATTTCACCCATGTGACTGCTAGTAATTAAATTGTTAGCTCAGGTCATGATGAGCCACATCGAGCTGCTTAGCAGCAGTGTTTGCACCATTGCATCAGTGAAAGATGGAAATGTTGCAATGCTAGACCTGCTACATAGTCTGCCGGTAAAGACCAGGATAAATCAGCATTTGGCCGATGACTTCAGCCATTAGCTAATATTAAGTACTAATAATTCTACTTTTCTGTAGAGCAGGGAAAGAAAATTATACAAAGTGCAGATACGAAGTTGAGTGCAAGAAGCCTGCATAGATATATTGGTCCATGGAAGTCCTAGCTTCAGTGCAGTCAAGTGGATATCAAAGTTTGAAGACAAGAAATTTTCAACAAAGCTATACTTAGAACGCAGTTAATTTATAATGACATTTTTACGTATGTCTAGATCTTGGTTAGAATAAAAAGTGAAGGTAATGTAATAGTCAAAGCTGATACCTCACATTCTGACGTACCATATACTTAGATTTATTTGGTATTCTTTTTGTTGTTGTTGTTCATTTTGTCTTTAGAAAAGCTGGAACCAAGGTCCAAAGGTGGAACTCTCCCAGAGGCTAAAATCTCCAGAGGGAGAGAAACTCTTCGTCTGAGAACCAAAGGCCCTGCTACTGTGGAGGAAACGGTACGGTTATCTCAGGTTCTAGATGATTAAACTATTGAAGGGCCCTGATTTATTGTTCCCCAAGGCTGATAAGGTAAAGTAGGAAGATGTTACAAAGCTTGCAGGACTTAAGAAGACAACTGCCTTCTGCAGGGAGAAATGCTTATGTAAAGTTAAAGACCAGCAGGGTAGGAACAGAGCCTATATTTAGATGTAATGGATTACATAGGTTAATTTAAGGTAGATTAGACCAAGGAGTGTTGAGAAGAGGTAAGGGGAGGGGGAAAAAGTGGGGAGATGGTTGAAGGGTTGGTTCTGTTTCTGACATTGCGAAGTGTATTGGGCTAGTGGAAGGGTTGTTGTGAAGAGAGACTGATAACATCCATTGACATGTATATGTATAAAAGCAGGGTTAGGGTTTGGAAGAAGAAATGTTATTTATTCTGGATTCCTCTAAAGCTGATGAGCATTTGATGTGGATCTGTATTGTCAGGAGATGTAAGGCCCCTGTTTAGTTTGAATGTGAGAACTGTGTGGCTTGATGTTAGGAGGAAGGTTCAGGTTTGTGAGAAGAGGGAAAGAAAGTGGAAT